CACTGCTGCCTCATGGTCAACTTATGGAAACCTAAGGAAAATAGTCAATGGGAAAAAGCAAAATAATAATTCTTAAAATATTATCAACAAATTTTGTATAGCAGTCATCTAGAAAAATATCTTTTTTGAATTGTATGAGTTTATTCCAATTCTATTAGATATCAAAAAGAACAAAGTAAACTACCAAACTCGAAATACCGACTTCCTATGTGGAAGTCTTCATTTAAACTAGTTCCTGAGACATAAAATATGGGGGTAAAAGTCCCTTCAGATTTCAGAAATTTACTCAGGACCACTTACACAAGGCAGGATTTTTTTACTGCAAAATGTTTGGAAGAATATATGGAATCCTGTAAGCCTCCCATGTAAATCAGTGGGACCACAAAAAAAGTCTGCAAAACCTACACGCTCCAAATATTATGCTCCACATGTATGTCCTTCCTTTGTACCATTCCTTCTGGCTATTCACTAAAATAAATATATTTCAATCAAGAAATAACAGGGAGCTTCATTACTATATAAGTAAGGAAAAGAAAACAGGAGACATTGTTTTTGTTATTGCAAATATTATTATGGAAAGAGTAAAATTCCATGACTTTCCCTCAGTAGAAATGGTACCTATATTAAAATTACTCAAATTCCATAGGAAAATGATTTATTCAAATAGAAAATGTTCGTCCATCTCACTAAGCTTTATAGGAAAACAGATATCTATGTAGTCTTAATGCATTCTGTTGTCTTAACAGAAATCCAAAAAGGTGGTCACTTACTAGTGCACATTTCTAAATGGTAGTGCTGCTCATTCTGTAATGATCAATAGCATTATTTAGTCTCTCAGTAATATTAATAGAAAAAGTCCCATTCACTGAAGCTAGGATTTTGCCAGTATTGTTACATACATTTACAGATCCATTTCCACCTCCTGCATTTTACAGAAGGTTGTCAGCAGTGCTTGCCAGGAGACACTTCCTTCCACCAACTTAACCAAGTGATGTTACCAACACTTATATATCAGGGAAATGAGATATTGGAGCTTTTCTGGAGCACCAAGTAGACTCGCAAGAATTTCATGTTCCTTATACATAGACTCACTGTTCTCTGAGGTAGTGGCACCCAGCATTCCTTTGAACGTCACTTGTAAAACCTTGACAAAATATGTCAAGTATATTATTTCAAAATAAAAAGCTGAGCAATAACTTACTGAATTTAAAACAAAGTTACAATAATCTAAAATAACATGGTTTCCAGTAAGGAAAAAAAAACGTTTATTGAATAAATATAATAAAACTATATAAAAAAGAGCTTTTGTGTGCACAAGCTTTTCTCTAGATGTGAAGCAGCAAACATCAAAGTAGATCATAGATACAGTACTTAGTTTTGCCACTGCACAGAACAACAGAACATGCTGGGTATCTGCCTGGAGTTTCCCTCTTATTCTTGTAAATATTTCAAGAATCTGGGCCAAATTGCTATAAAAATGCTCCCTGCCATAGTGTTACTTCAGACGCAAAGACACAACACCAGACAACAGGACATCAGTCAGTCACTGGGACTAAGGGTGCGATTCACACATAACTCCCTGGTATTGCCTTACAGGCCAGAAATCACCACGCACAGCTTCTCAAAATGTCTTTAGGAAGCTACTCACTCTCCTTTCAAACTAAACAGCAAAAATGGTCCACTGTTTCCTGTTGCTCCTTCAACCAGGAATATTGAATAGATGGATACTTAAGGAAACCTTCCTGACAAAGAACATCCTTCCTTAGGGTTCCTAAAAAGGGATCAAAAAACACAGTGCCCATGTGATACAAAGAGCTGAACTATTATAGTTTACTGTGTTGGTTCGGATTGGTTTGAAATATTTTGGCAGGTGAGCAGTACATTATCCAGCACAAAGTGCTGCTAGTATTGTCTAGCAGGAAAGCAGATCTTACCTAAGGCAAGCAGACGGGTTAGTGACAATGCTTTAAGATAGTTTAGAGTCAGTGAAAACCCACACATTGCTTGAGGTGGCCTTGCCTGAGCCAAACTCAAGTGAATACAGGTTTCCTCCTTTAGTTTTTTGTGGTATGAATCCTGGTTGCATCCGACATTGTTTTCAACATAGACATATGAGGTGGGTGTCTTTCTCCAGTTACATACATTTCATTTCTCCTACCACAAGTTGGAAGTAACATTACATTACATTATGGAAAAATCTTTCAGGCTAATGCAATACTTTTAAAGTCTGACCTTAAGAAACAATTATGCGAGCACCTTGTTGACATTGCAGCCATCAGCTCACCCTGCAGCTTTATGCAAAAACCAAATGCAATCATATTTAATACTTAGGAATGAAACAGAATGGAGTTCATGAATGGTGCAATACTTCTCTTCCCCTTCATAGCTATCTCTGAGATACTTTGCAATTTAAAATTACTAAGAACATATTAATACACTGGCGCAACTCTTTTTTAAAAAACTTATTTAGATTTACCCTTATCTGTTATTTGAGCACTACCCACAATGATTACATTCAGTGACATTCTCTGTCCCGCTGATTCAAATAGCTCTCCAATCATTCAAAATATAAATGGTTTCTTCATCTCTCCCATCACAAATTTTGCTATACAGATATACTTCCTATACAGACGTACTGACATCTGAAACACAATTTGAAAATTTGATGTTCAGGTTGTGCTGAACTTTAAAGCTACAAAATTCTCTCCACAGCTAACCAGATAACAACACATATTTTCCTGACCTTGGGTACATATGTCCTGGATTTTTGCTTAAAAGGGAGTAGTATTTATTTGACGATTATTTTTGCCTACATCTTTAATTAATCGTTACCTCATCTAGCTGATTTGATATTAAAGGATAAAGCTACTGCACAGCAGAACATAAGTGTTTTATGCAACGAGAAGAAACAGCCTTTTGCACTGGTAAGAAACCTGGGAAGGACTTTAGGCTGCCCAGAGATCTTGGAACAGCTCTGGGGATTTAGGTTTGGAGGGTTTCTGTGCGTCTGCTTTTGCCTCTTTGACCTCCTGCCAAAGTCTGCTTATTT